GGCACACATCCGAATTTTATTATTCTTTTTCTTAACATATACAACAGGGCAGGCCCATTCTGAAAATTCAATGCGTGAAATAACTCCTAAATTTTCAAGCCATTCCAATTCTTTGTTAATCTGTTCCAAAACACCAAATGGCACATTTCTTTTTCGCTTGAAAATAGGTTTTACATTTTCCTTCACTTCAAATTTTGCCTTCGTCTTTTTGCAACATCCAAGACCTTCTGAAAATACTTGTGGAAATTTTATTTTCAGATCTTTCACCAAATTTTCTGTAACCCGATTTTTTACATGGAGAAGAAACATTAATTCTATTGCAAAAAGAATTTATAAGGAGTTCCATAAATTAAAAAGTATAATCCAATCTGTTCCAAAGAAATTTGAAGCATTTTGTAGCACATACACTTTTAGACTTTAGTGTCTTACCAACAAATGAAATATTACAAGAAAATTCACCTTGAAAATGCAATTTTCTTCCAGAAATCCCAAGAGCCCCTTTTTCAGTCTTTTTAAGCAAAGGTCTGCCTATTTTAATCCATGTTGCTGTATTAATAATGGAAATATCACTTCCAGTATCTAGCTATAGTTTAACATTTTTTCCATTAATTTTTACCTGTACAAATTTTTTTTTTCCCCCCTCCTCAATCTCTTGACGTGACAACACAATATTCACATTATCTTTTTTCGACTTAAATTTTTTTCTTTTGCTTTTACAATGAGTACTTATATGGCCTTTATTGCCACATGAATAGCAATTTTTGTCGCGAAAAAAACATTCACTTTTAAAATGACTACCACCACATCCCAAGCATGTTGGTTTTTAATGTTTTTATTAACTATTCGTTTTTTGGTCGAATAGCATGGACACGGGATACATCTTTTTCTTCAATTTGCGTATTGTCATGTTTTAAGTTTTCAATTCTTTGACACTCTTCCGTAACCTGCAAAGTGATCTCGGAATTTTTTTCGAGTTTTGCCAATATTGGGACCTTATGTCCTTGTCTTTGCTAGAAGTCAAGCCTTGAATGAATATCAAACATTTAAATCGATCAATTGAAAGATCATGTAACATAAAACATTCACACATTCTGTTAACATTTCCAGCATATGTAACAACATCCTCATCGTCATGCTTTACCATATTCAAACACGAGAAACGAGTATGAAACAAACTAACTCGCTCGCCAAAAATACTAGATAAAGTATTAACAGTTTCTTTGAAAGAAATGTCACCAGTTTTTCTTGGAAGGACAAAATTCGTATACTTATTATTTTCATCTGTACCCAACTTTTGTAAAAGTAAACTCATTTTTTTTCATCAGTCCAACCTACACATTTTTTTTCAAATATTGTTTCAAATCTTCTGAAATACGCAGGAAATGTTATGCCCTCCTCTGGGTTAAATTTGAACTCAGTAATAGAATTAGCAATACCTTCGGCCGTGGATGACGAATTTACTGGATTCTTAAGTAAAATCGCTTCATATAAAGCCTTTGTGTCATTTCGCTGCCGAACTTGTAAATCCAATAGTTGTTCCCGAAACAATTTTTGTTGCTCTTGTTGCTGAATTTGACTTTGCACTAGAGTTTTTGTTAATGCAATCAAATCTTCCATTATGCGTAATGGATTACACAAAACACTTTTCGAAAACAGACAAAAAGGGAAAAACACATATATATCCACAATAAGCACAAGTCTTACTTCTTTTTGGCATGTTGAAATCCCATTTCTTTGTGAAGAACAAAGTTCGACGTATTTTTTTTATTTTTTTTTTTTTTTTTTTTTAGAGCGAGAAAAAAAAAATTATATAGTCCACCTAGAGTTGAAAAATTCTCCACTCAGCGTGATGAACGAATCTCTTGTTGCCACTGTTATGATGTTGATTTGGGGCTAGTAGAGACAAACGCCAAATAACACGTAACAATAAAAAGGGTTTTAATAGGTTGGTAAAAAGGTACAGAAATCGCCTGAGTAGTCAATAACTAGCTCAGCTAAGAACTTCTGTCTATCAGTCTCCCATCATGTCAACTGACATGCCACTATTTAAAGTCTTTGTTCGCAGACAAGTTCATCTTCAAGAGGGGGTGGTAGGTTTCCGACACAACACCTTCCTTCTGTTGTTCCTATCCTCAGTAACTGACTGAACACAGATAGCTTATGTGGGTCAGTGAACATCATAAAAAAATCAACCAATGACAACACATCCTGCCAAAAATCAAATGGAAAGTACAGATGTGTCAGGCCCAATAAAAAGAAGAAAAAAAACATGTGCGCAAGAGAAGAAGTGGGAAATTGGTTCAATGTAACAGTTCAAGACGTAAGGGTTGGTGATTCATCAGATGTGAGTTTTACCAGATGTATGACTCCAGAAAAAGAAAGGATGAATTCAACAAATTAATTTCTGTCAGCCAAAAACACAACAACCCTGTATGAACTCTTGGATCACAAAAGAACTAAGACGATAGTCATGCACTTTAACCACTGTAATCAAATGGAGTCAACAATAAAATGGTACTATAGACAGTAAATTTGGCCTTTACTTATGTATTAGTAATCCCCATATACCATATACCATAGTTTAAAAATATTCCTTTTGCAAATGTGACTGAAATCAATTTCTGAATGTTATCATAGTTAAATGATTTAAGCTTTTTCCAGAAGTGCCTGGACAGCTTCAGATTACTTTAAGTTTTAAAGTTGGAGTCATAATTTTTTTTTTTTTTTTTTTTTTTTTTTTTTTTTAACCAAATATATAAATTTCATTTTTATGTGGTTCAATGTTTTTAAATTTAGCATCTGTTTTAGTTCTCATATTACTGTCACTGATAACTTCTGGATGGCATGGAAAAAGACAAAAAGAAAAGTAACAGTCATCTACTTTTGAAAAGGCTTTGTACATGACAAATTGGATTAAAATTATTTTTGTGGCCTTTAAAGATTTTAAAACTATGAATGTTTTTATTTTTATTTAATGATTACATCTTTATTTTTATGTCATGATTGATATCTCCTAACAGAAAAATTAAAACACTATGTAGTCTAAGTAGTGTATTAAGGATATGTCTGTTCTATTGAATGTCATTTAAAGATACTTTAACTGTTAGAGAAAAGTACTTATTCACCTACTCCATTCCCAAGGACAAACATGAAACAAGGTCAAGTTTAATGTGTAGGTAGACAAAAATTGTTCAATTTATTTTACATTTTTATGATGTCTCAGGCATCAGGATGCTACACCCTTGAATACAACCTGGAGAGATGTCTTTCTGGAACTAGTCACTAGTTCAGAGTTTACTTCTGACCAAAGAATTTTTGTAAAAAACAAACCCCAAAACAAATAAGCTTCACATTTGGAAAGCATATTTCTTGCAAATCAATGAATATCGGTTTCTATTGGTGGTTACTTCACAACTGATTTCGTACAAAATAAGCTGACATTTTTCTTGGTTTGATGGAAATGAGTTTCACAAATAATATTTTTTTTTGTTTTTAATACAAAGCAAAATATTAAATTTATCAAATATTATTACAAAATGCGTTTCCAATCGGTAATGCAAACATTCCTTTATATTTTTTGCATCTTTGTTTATAAAGTTCCTGGAACACTATTGGAATTGTTTAGATTAATTTAATTATTATTATTATCATATGTTTTTCTTTTGGGCTAACATGTTTATCCTGATTATTATGATCACACTATTTCAGCTGTTTTATCCTTCAACCTTCTTCAGGTGTCTGTTTTTGTACTTGATAACCATTTCAGAATTTTAAACTGAAACTTTTATTCAATTCACAAGTTAGATTTTTCTTATTCTGATTTCCCTACTTAGGGGAGATAATTCTTCAGTTTCGTTTATCTTTGTGGGTTTGTCTGTTTATTCTTTTACTGAACCAGTATAATTTGAGATAGTTGTGTATTTCTATCCAAGGTTTCTTTTCAGCCCAAGTAAAATACCATTTTTCAAGGTAGTAAGACTCTCTTTACTTGGTAGATTGGCACATCACTATCATCCTACTTCCATTTCTCCAAGATTGGCCACATGGTGGGCTAAGTTGTGTATATATCAATAAGTGCTATTTAACTTCAAGGTTGACAGATGGTGCAAATTTTCTTTTGAAATCTGTATGTGAAAAGTTATAAGCAGTGAAGAGACTACTATTGTAATTTTACCATTATAATCTATCATAACAAAACATTTTTCTAGATTGGTTTTCTGCTTATCAAAGAATACAGGATAAAATATTTGTATGTTAATTTATCTTAAGGAACCTGAATAATTTGAAAAGCTTATTTTTTCAATTTATTTTCATAGTTATTTTTTATTTTTTTTATTTTTTTTTGTAATAATTAGAAATGGTTACTTGAAAAAGATGCATATATTGTAAAAACATAAAATTTGTTTTTTAGTATAGATTTTTAGAGCATTTTAGCATTCAAAACATAAAAAGGAAAAAAAGTATGAATCAGATTGATTGTACCTTATTCATCATTAATCATTTTGAAAAGATTAAAATCTTAAAAAAGTTATTTCATAATATCTACCAACTAAAAAAAAAAATGTCGTCATAAAACAAAAAATTGATTGAATTTCTAGGATTTGTCATTATTTACACTATTTACATCCGGACTATTGTCTTTATCATTGTTGCTGTTGGTATCACTATCTTTCAGTCATTGTGCCTTCTGTCCTTCAGGTGTATATTGTGTCTGGAGTGAAGCCATTATTTAAGCAATAACTTAGCAGTATTAAAAATAAGAGACATGGGCAGTGGAAAAAGAACAGGCTACTCTCGTATATTAAATGAAGGGTTCAGTTCATAATTCTCTGTAGTTTGTCAAGATTGATATACACCTGATGAAGGCTAGAGGGTACAATAGTCAAAATGGTGATAACAACAACAAAGACAGGACAATAGTCCAAATATAAATAGTGTAAATAAAAATTTGATAGATTTTAACACAGAATAAAACAAATTATTTTTTTATTTATTTTCAGAATTTCAAGACTGTGCATGAAATGTGGTGAAAATGAAGGCAAAGTTGTTATACGAATGAATGATCCTTTCTGCTGGTAAGAAATCTTTTTTCAAGTTATGTTATCTTAGAGTCAATAAATATATATATATATATATATATATATATATATATAATCTTGGTCGGAAAGAGATTAAAAGGAAAACAAATGTTTGCATTCCTCTTTCTGAACAGAAACAATAGAATGGAGATTTCTGTGTTTAAAACAGCTTTGGTAATGATATTGTTTTTATGCAAAGTTAAGATATTAATATATATTAGTTAAATATTAAATCCCCCCCCCCCAATATAATTAAACATATCCCCAATGGAATAGAGTCTAGGCTATCTGAAAACTCTTCTTGTAAGGCAATTTTTGAGGGGAAAAAATATGCAATAAACTTAAAGGCAGAGGGCCATGAAACAAAATTAGATTTTAAACCTAAACACATTAAACACCATACAAAAGCCATTTTGAGGAAAAGAAAAATATTATTTGGTTTAACTCCCCTTTTAAGTTTTGTGACAGTATAAATGAATAACACTACAGTGAGTTTTCAGTTAGACGCTGATAGCAATATTATAATTATTGATGAACAAACTTGGAACAGAATTGGGAAGCCTAACTTGATAAAAACTGAATAAGTTGCAAAAGGAATATTGGGCAAGAAATTAATTTTTCATGGGAAAATAATGTGTAACATTGCTCTTGTGGGTAAAACTAAAAAAAGCAGATATTTATGTATTAAAATATTCCAAATCGACTTTACTAGGCGTCGATTGGTTAGAATTATTCAAACTATTGAATTGGCCAATTCATTCATTCTGTGAAAAAATTGATTGTTTGTCAGAGAAAAAGATTACAGCTAAAGAACACACTGAGTAAACTAAAAAATAAATTCACAAATATTTTCTCAGAGAAGTTGGGAAAATGCACAAAGGCATTTTTGAAACTGAAAGAAAATGTGATGCCAGTGTTTAAGCCACAAAGAAAGATACTGTTTATGTGTGGATTTTTCAATTGGATTGAATGGCTGCCTCCTACCACATGTATATCTCCTACCAACTCCAAAGGATATTTGCTAAATTAAATGGTGGTAAATATTTTTCAGAAAATTACCTGTTTGAGGCATAGCTTTAAATCAAAGTGGATAAGGAATGACAGAAGTTTTTGACTATTAATACACATAAAAGACTCTACAAGTTTAAAAGATTACACTTTGGTGTAAAAGCAGTGCCAGGTATTTTCCAGCAAATAATGGATACGATGTTGATGGTGTTGTCACTTACATTGATGATATGCTTGAGTGTTATGAAAATACAGCATGTAAAACTGATTCGGAAATTATTTCAGAGACTACATGATTATCATTTCAAAATCAGTGAACAGAAATGTCAATTCTTTCTAGATAAGATTAAATATAATGAAAAAGGAAGAAGACCAGACCCTGCTCAAGCAAGTGCCATTAAAAACGTGCCTCTTCTGACAAATTTGGTAACCAACCCTACAATAATTTCTCAGATTAGCAAATTATTATGTGCCAGAGATGTACAAACTGCATTCACCTCTGAATAATACACTTAAAAAGGGAACAAAATGGAATTGGTTAGCAGAATGTTAAAAAGCTTTTGAAATAATTAAAAAAAAATACTAACTTCAGAATTATCACTGACACATTATGACCTGCACTGACAGATAATAATAGCATTGAATGCAAGCAAATACAACATAGGAGTGGTAATAGGCCATAAATTCAAAGATGGTACAGTGAAAGCAGTTGCTCATGCTTCAAGAAGTCTGACAAATATGGAAAAATGCTACTGTCAGATTAAAAAGGAAGAGTTAACTATAATTTTTGCTGTAAAGAAATTTCACAGGATGATATTAGGAAGAAAATTCATACTGCAAGCTGAATTTTATCCATTATTAAGTATATTCAGTTTTAAGAAAAGGATTTCCACACATACTGCAAACAGACAACAGTATTAGTCTTTGATTTTACTGAACTATGATTTCAAGATGGAATTTCTATTGTCGAAGAAATTGGGACATGCTGATGGTGTGTTCAGATTAATATCATAATCTAAAGATTTTGAAGATTCTCTGATTGCTTCACTGGAAACCAAAAGCAAAATTAAAAACCTGGTGTATAACACTATTAAAAAATTGCTGGTCATGATAGATGATATCAAAATTAATTCTAAAAAGGATGTTTATTCAAAAAAACAAAAATATGAATGACGTTAAGTTGAAATGGAGTGAAACTAAAATTAAACCTGCTAACAATAATACAGCATTTTCTATTTGTGATGGAGTACTTTTGTATGTGGAAAGAGTAGTAATTCCATTATCACTACAAAAAGGGATTTTGAAGTAATTCTGCGTAGGACATCTGGGAATAGGGAGAATGAAGTCCCTTATAAGAATCTACGTGTATTGGACAAAGATATCCAAAATACAGTGAGAAAATGTTATGGTTGTAACTCGGCAGCAAAATCGCCACCTATAAATTATCAGGTATGGCTGAGCACTGATAAACTGTGGGCAAGACTGCATATGGACTTTGCTGGACCACTAAATGGTTCATACTATTTAAATGTGGTCGACAGTTTCACAAATTGATCCAAGATATTGAGGAGTAAATGACCTACTGCTGCAGTAACGATTAAATTCTTGCATAAACATTTTACAAGGTTTGATGTACCTGACAGGTATCCAATAAGGGAACTCAATTTACTTCTATGGAGTTTAAAAATTTCTGCAAAAACTATGTAACTGAACATTTGACAATGCTGATTTGTCATCCAAGGTCAAATGGTCAAGCAGAACAGTTTGTTGACACCATCAAAAGTGTATTAAGAAAAGCTAAAGGCTTGGAAGCTGAAAAAATGGCACTACAAGAATTTTTGAGCATGTATTGAATGACACCAAATAAAAATGTCACTGTGAAAATGTCACCTGCAGAGCTCATGTTTGCTTCAAAAGTTAGATCTATTTTTGCCATGGAATAAGAAGAAAGTTCGACAATTTCAACCTACCAGATCATTTAAAATCAGTGATAAAGTTTTCTTTAAAAGCTTTAAGGCTGGAAACTAAAATTGGCAGGAAGGTAAAATTCAGTGTCTTGGTAGTATGATGTACATTGTCGAAGGTGGACGATTATGTCATAAACGACATAAATCTACTTAGGTCTATATGTTCACAGAATAAGCAACCAGTACAATTTAATTTACTGATGGACATACTTTATGATACTTTTGAAGTACGTATTCATAAAACTGAAATTACAATACTATGTCAAGGTAAGTGAAAACATAATCTGACTGAAATGCTGGAAGTGGACCCATGTCAAAAAAAGTATCGACTAAAGAAAGTGCATATGTAAAAAGCAGGGTGTTGTGGAGATGAACACACCTCTCCAGAAGAGGACTTGGGCTCATCCAAATACATAAATATAGACACAGAGAATCATCAGCAGAAGGAGTAAACAAGTAGAGTTAGAGATCTGGCTTATCTGCTTACTACCTATTTCATCAAGACTGTGTCAATTCCAAGCAACATACTACTTCTTGATTGTGTTGTCATTCAGTGCAATGGAGACATAACACAAAGCCTTCATCAGATGATGATCCTGGTTTGAGGCATTGTTTAAAGGCAGAAACATCGTTTTTACTAATCCAAATCATTTAGTCATACTTTGTATCATCATCATACTTTATTGCTATTTCATCACAATTTGAGACTATCAAATCCATACAGGTACAATCTTTGCCTGATCTTGGTACCTCCGGATTTTTTTCCTATTTTCTGATGTTATATGAAGTATATCAAAGTTGGCAATAAATCACTTTAATAGGGAATATCTTGTTTTGATAGCCATGCTTTCTTTATTTTGGTTTCAGATCTTCAAAATTCATTTTTTTTTCTCTCTCTCTCTCTCTAGGGATTGTTTTCTGGTATATGTTGTACACAAGTTTCGAGCTGTTATTGGGAAATCAAAACTCATTAGAGATGCAGAAGCTGTATTGCTGGCATATTCAGGAGGTTCATCTTCGTCAGCTCTTCTTCATTTGGTTCATGATGTAAGAGAATGTTTTTTTTTTTTTTTTTTCTTTTACTTGCTACCAACTTACTCTTTTTGTTTTGTACAAAATTTCAAATCTGTTTTAAAAATTAATTATTAAATAATTATTTTTAATGTGATGGACAATCCAAGTGTTGCATAATAAAATCTCTTATCACCAAATAAGTTTTTATAAGTATCTTTTACATAAATAAAATGCAGTGTACATGTCTGTCCATCTGTTTTTCAATCTCAGCAAATCTTAAATGACCTGAAGTAACGCATAGTAACAACTGTAGTTACGCATGATTAAAAATTAAATAAATAACTCATTTACAGTTAAATTTAAGTACTGAACAGAGTGAAAGGTTTAAAAAACAATTCTTTATTAAAGGAGTAACTTTAATTTCCCTTTTTGCCATAATTGCAATTGATATTGTCTAATTAAAGTAAATTAAAACTTAAGCAGGGCACAGTACATTGCTCATATTTTTTTTTCTTTTTCTAGCATGCATAATGTAACGTATTTGAAACATTACATTGTTTGGGTTCCTAATGTCTTTTAAGAGTGACTTTATGTTAAGGGATCATAAAGAATGGTGATTTTAAACAACATGCATGTGCAAAATTTAAAAATGTATAATGGTGACAATTTACCTATTGCACTTTGTAGTTGATGAAAAAAAGGATTGTTTTTTTCAAAATAGTTTTTTTGTTATGTTTGAGCAGAGAATCACAGATGAAAATGTGGTTCATTAAAAAAAATTTTCAGTTATATAATGAGGCATCCAAATATCATAGTAATTTATATATTCAAGTGTTTTCAAATGCCTTACATTGCTCATATGAGATGTATGGAGTATTTCTGTGAAATCCTATGTTGTGTGACATGGATTATTTTAAATCCTTTTTTTATTTGGTAATCATCAATGACTGCATGCCTGCTGGAATATTGATCAAAATCTTTCTCTTCTGAACTGAGTGAACCACTTAAAAACAGTATTTTCAGCTATGTCACCATCTCCATAAATGGTACATATATTTTTGTTATTTGTACAGCACTTTTTGTGGAAATAAAAAAAACAAAACAAACATCAAATGACAAAATGCATTTAATAATCAAATTAAATTATTAAATAAGAAGAATGAGATAATGGGTCAATGCTAACATATTAACAAATATTTACTTCGTTACTTTCATAATTATATAACATAAATAAAATATTATGATTTAATTAATAATACAAATTAACAAATATTACAATTTAATATTATAACATAACAAAAAAAATTTAAAAAATTTAAATTCAAAGAAAAAAATTACAACTGGAAGAAAAAACTACAACTGAAAAAAAAGAAGACTTAAATGAAAGCAAAAATTCATGAACGTGCACATGTAAAAGAACGTTGAATTCATGAGCATACACATGTACAAAACAGCAAAAGACATGGAATATGTTGAAAAAATTGGATATATCATTTGAAAAACAGAACCCCTTAAAGAATGGACATTATTAAGTAACTTTGAAGTCTGGGAAAATGACAACAAAAAATTGATATTTAAGTTAAATTAATTTAATTTAGTTAATTTTATATATATATATTTATTTTTATATATATATATATATATATATATACACACACACTCTACAGTGTAAGAAAAAAAAGTGCTCAATGTTAAATAACAGCTATTTAATATATATTAAGAAATATACATAATACCTTACATTGATTACACAACTCTGAGTTTTATGCCAACACAATTTTCAAGTGCTGATATTTTTTGGTGAGCAGGTAACACCAGTTTTTTAATATTTCTGGTTATCGTGAGATACTTTGTTGGGATGGATTATTCTTGTTAAAATATTGGAATGAATTGTGGTATAATTTTGGATTTAAATTTAGGCCCAGATTAACATTTAAGCTTGGAAATAAGAATTACAAATTCTAATTTTAAAAGATGCTGTTGTTATCAAAAGTAATAAACAAGAAAAAACATTTGGAAATTAAGAGGTGGGTAACTCTATTTTTTCCATGAAAATCCAAGAAAGTAATTAATAATAGTATTAAAATTAATAAACTAAATAAAAGTAGTGATATCAATAATAATAATAAAATAATGCTGTGATAAAATAAAATTAAAGTAATAATAAATATAATACATGTCAATAAAAATAAGATAAAATAAATGCTATATAAATAGGAACATATAAATATGACAAATAAATAGATAAAAATAATAAATGCAAATAGATAAGTAAATAACTAAGCATGTTTCTGATAGTAAGACTAAAGCTAAAAGAGAACAATAGTAATTGTTATATATTAAAAATGGTAATGATAAGATAATGGATTAGCAAAAATGTTAAATGCATTACAATCTGATATTAACAATTTTTGTATAGTAAAGGTAGTAGAAAGTAAAAATATTAATAAAAATAAATAATATCAATACTAGTATATGTTGTCTCCTGCTTCAGCTAGACTAGAATAAGTGTTTGAGTAGAAATTTGGTTCTATATAGGCAATTGCTCATTAGGGTAGGTCGATTTTTGACTTTTTTTAAAATATCAAAAAGAATAATGTACCGAAAGTTATGTATAGACCAGTTAAGTACTGATACAAAAAATTAGATCTGTCACTTCAACGGTTTTTTGAGCATTTGGCATCAAAGATCGTAGAGAAAAATGCACTGAAAAATCCACGATTTTGCAAGATTTAGACTAAATATTGTTAAAAAAAAAACAAACAATTTCACTATTTAAATCAGGGAATGTTGTTATTTTGTTTTATCTAAATAAAATGTAGAAATTATAAGTAAACTTCAAATTGGAAATTTTCCCCCGCTATTATCACTGACGATTTTGAAATGCTGTTTTTTGCCTCATGAATTAAGCAGTTGAATACATTAAAAAAATTGCTTTTTTCTATTTTGAATGAAAATACAATAAACAAACAAACAAATATGAAAAAATAAAGAATAGTTTAATAGGGCTTAATATACAGAGTCAAATAGCTTGATATATGAACCCTCAGATGAAATTGATGGTCTCAATTTCTGACACAAAGTTTTTGATATTATGTGCTGGTGCCTTGCTTCAAAGCCATATACAGATTGGGAAGCTTCTGTTGTTAACTTGACTGCCTGTTCCATGCCTTGAGAATGTGATGGCAAATCTGGCAAGTCAAGTTTCGTACCATTCAATAATTATTCCCGAAGTTCATTTTCAGAAAATTTTCTGTGAGTGGTGGTTCACAAACTCCACTTAATGACAGATCTTTTAACTGTCTCCAGTGCATAGCTTTAAATTTGATAGTTGTGATTCTTTTTAATTTTTTCTTGGTTTGCTCCCCACTCTTGAAAGAATATAAAAATTAATTGTACTGTACTGCTTTAATATTTATGGTGAAATTAGATAAAATCCTTAAAATGATTCCATAAATTGGTAAAACTAATTTAGTCAATTTTATATGAATAAATATTTACTAACCTAATGGCCAAAATTCGTTTTATAGTTTCTTCCCTCACTTCCAGTTCATCAGATTTGACCATTGAATATTAGATATTTTCAGGCAGTAAGGCGAAAGCATTGTATTGTATATTTTTCAATGTGATCTGTTGGATTTCATATGGTTGCTTCCTAATCCTTTGGATCATATTGAAAATATACATTTGCTGATTGTGGAACTTGTTATTTCTTTTATTTTCGAACCGGCAAATGGCATACACATTCACAATAAAATTTATTAAACTGTGGAGTTTGGTTGAAATATTTCGTGGGTATGCACTATGAGTCTATAAGCACATCAGACTGATGCCTAAAGTTAACCACCTTGCCTGGTTTAATGGACCAATTTTCCATGATACAAATCTAGAATCCACCTTACCTCTAGAAATACCCACTGTATATTCATAAAGGAGTCTTTGGTCACAACTAAGGGTATCTGCATTTTAAATTTTAAAAATAGAATCCAGAGGACTGCCAACAACTGAAAATGATATTTGGGGTAAATTATGGTAATCATTTGCACGTAATCTTCCAAGTGGACCATTGAATGTGGCAGGGCTTTTTTGTGGTACCATCTACATGTTTAAAAAGAGCTCTAAACAGAAGTTTATTTTGGTGCAAGGAGCAACCAATAGTATGAAGATTTCTAGAGGTGCAGCAAATCCACCTTCACAGCCTGAATTGGCATTAGTGTTTGTCAACAAGGATAGCCTTGATAGTGCTCACACTGTTGAATTCATGCAAAACATCAGCCACTTGCTCGGCAAGAACCACAACAATTGCACCAATATTAGGTAGAGCCTTAGGTGTCAGATATTCACTTTCATATGTAATCTTTGTGACAGTCAAGTGGCGTTCTGGTCTCTTAGTCTTTTTTTCAGTCTTCTCTCCATTTTCCTCCACTATTTCCTTGTACATTAGTGTGTCTTTGTCAGTTCTCCCATCAACTCCAATACAAACATTTACCACCTTTTCATCATGCTGTTGATGGGCATTTGTTTTCACTTTAACCTTTGCTCTATCAATTTTACACTTATCTATATAAATATCTTTTTATATTAATTTTGTGGATAAGAAAGCCCATAGCCCTCAAATCCAAGAGCAATGCATTTGCAAGGCTGGCTCCAAGATTGTAAGATACATCACCCATGATCAACTCTAGACTACCGTGGAATTTTGATAAGGCTCGCCGCTATATAGTCTTATCAAAATTTCACGGTATGCTAGGCCCTTTGGGATGTTTTTCCTGCCATTTTATTAAAATATCTGACAAAGAAAAGATATGTATTATCAAAAATTATACAAAAATATTTTTCAAAATAAATTGGAAAATAAAGTTTGAAATGCATTATTAAATTAAAAGTAATGTTTATTTACATAAAAGTAGAGTTAATTCCGGGATTAGCTTGTAAACAGGCTTTTTAATAAAACATTCATTTTCAAAATATAAACAATACTTATAAAAGTTGTATTTTTTTAAATAGTTAAATATATTTTGATGAAAAATAAAATAGATATTTGCGCTAGTTAAAAGCGTAAACAAAAATAAAACGAACATACAAAAGGAGGTAATTACTACCGGTAAATACCGAAAAAATATCCAATAAAAACGATGCCGTTCATGAGTAGTTATTTGTATTTTAAACTAAATATTTTAGTGTGTTTTATCTTTTATTTGTAGTAATTTCATTTAATTTAATAAGAGAATAGATAATAAACTCAAAAATATCCATTATTAAGCGTTATTTTCTTTTTTTCTTTTCGTTAAGTCTCGGTTTTAATTTAACATACACATGTCTCCGGTGACACCGTTATGATGATAAAATTCGCGATTTATTTTATTGCTCAAGTAAATACGAAGTTTTGAAGAAAGATATTTTTTGTGGTAATTTTTGACGTTATTTTGCAACTTTCCTCGAGTTATTCTTTTTACAGTTCCAAAATCGACCTACCCTATTGCTCATTAACTCACTTCTTTTGTTTAAGAGAATTTAGGGTTGTTTCAGGATTATTAAATTTTCAGGGCAGTGCTGTTACTACATTTACCTGATGTCATTTGGTGGTGGTAGATGAGGGATTTCCAATGGTTTTCCATAGAGCCCACATAAAACTTGGCCTCATCATCATATTTGATTTCAGCTTTATAAACTAACGATTTAGACATCCATTTGCTGTTTAATGGGCAGGGTTAGTTTTTTCTGCAATTCCAATTATTAGTTGCAGTGATGCTGTTGTTTTGAAGGTTGTTGAAATGTTTCTTTAGAATGGGACAGGTGTGCTGTGTTATATAATGGTCAATGTTTTTAGCACAACTGTAGCTAGCTTTGACATTGTTTTTGTTGAAAATCTTATTTAGCATTGGGGAATAAGTTTTGACGTTTTTGTTGAATGATGGGTAAACTATACAACATTGCGTTTATGACGTTTTGGTTTCTTTGCGTCCTTATTGCTATGGGTTCCGTTAGATGGTCTTAAGTTTTTGCACATGGCTATGTGTGTGTATCTATCTATGTATGTATGTATGTATGTATCTATCTATCTATGTATGTATCTTTCCTTTTCTGCGCACAGAATGTGTAGAAACTGTCTTTTAAATGTTCCGTAATTCTGAGTGCTTTCGGCTATACATTTAGCCATTATCAAGGATGATTTTATTTTTGCTTTTTAAATAGGTGTATTGGTTGTGTCTATGTTTCTAGAGTTATAGGGATGTTTTATTTTCTGAATACAGCACATTGTTGTCATGTTCATAGTTATTGAGTGTTGGCTTTTTCTTTTTGATTATTAAGGCTTCCATTATTTTTAATCTTTTTTTTTTTTTTTTTTTTTTTACATGTGCATGAGGTTATTATATTTTTATTTTCTACTAGTATGTTTTGGATGGAGTTTGGTAAGTTTGTGTGTGTGTTTAAATGTGTTTTAATAGACCAGTAGTCAGATAGGTGTAACGTAAGGCATGTGGATAGGCATGTTGTAGAGTGACCGATATAATTATTTATGAATTCGGTTTGATCAGGAACACAGTTTCTTAAGAAGCATTTGAACTCATAATGTTTGTTCATTGTAATTTTGATTTTGTTGCTGTGTTGTTATTTTTTAATATCAGGTTAGCTGTTTTAAATTTTTTGTAGTAGATAATTTGATTTTTTTTTTTTCTTCGGGTTAATTGAGGTAGTGTATTTCTTTATGATATTTCTAAGTGAAGATTCATCTTGTTTGTAGTTGATGTCTCTCTCTCTCTCTCTCTCTCTCTCATAAATTGTGATAGATTTTTAATTTTAAGTATGATATTGGCACTTGATTTTTAAAAATCAATTTTTACAATTGATAATATAAAAAATAGAGAACAAATTTCAGAAATTTTTATTTCATTTTAGGGTATGGAGAAAAGTAAGTTTAAGAAGTTGCGTTTCAAGGCAGACGTTGTCTACATTGATGGTAAGTATAATTTACTTACTTGCTCTATCTTACACACACACACACCTGCAAAGACAGTGTATGTAGGAATAAACAATCCATATGCCCAACTTAACTTTGGCAAAAATCAATATTCATAGATTACCCAATAAGATGTGACTTTTATAACAAAAGTATATTAATCATCTATTTATTATAGATGTTTTTTTTATATACAGCAAATCCTTGAATTAATTGACTAAGGATGGAAAAGGCACAAGTTAAATCTAAATGTAACTTAGGAGACCAATTTTTTAGTGTAAAAATAATACAGAATTATACAAAATAAATTTATTAATTTATAAAGATTATGTAAAATTTACTGTAATTTTATTTTTTTTTTACCACTTTAAAATCATTTACATAATTTAGGAGTTCTAGATAAATGCTGATGGAAGAATTCATAGTAATTATTCTTTCCTGTGTTTGAATGTTAAAAGTAATTAATTCAGTAATAAAATAATAATGAGTTTAATGGAGGTTTCTCCATGAAATCACTAAAAACAGAGCATAGCATGATGAAAAAGATGCCAAAGTTGACGAAAACAAAATTTTATCATCTAAATGTTTGTTATTATTAAGAGGAAAGACCAAAGTTTTTTTTAATTATTTTAAAAATTTTTTCCTTCTTTTTAGAACATTCTAAATTTCGATTAAAAAAAAACCAAAAAAAAACCTTGTTTCTCTTTGTATCATCGGAACTGGTAAAATAACCTATACAATTTTTAGCACTTTTTTTTTTTTTTTTTTTTTTATGACAGACATTAATTTGGAAAATCTTGCAAACATAAAAATAATTGTTGGCTGTTAATGAAACTTTCCGAAACTATTCACAGATGATGGAAATTATTATAAATGTTTTTTTATTAAAGTCATGGCAGAAATATTTTTTTATATTTATTAACCCCCCCCCCCAACAATTATTTGTTATTTCTTTAATTATTTTAGATTTTTACATTTAAGTTGTTAAAATATTATAAAATTAGTTGAAAGCTACATTCACTTTCGTAAATGTCCTTATGAGATAGATCATTTTTTTAGCACTTTGTAAATTGTAACGCTTCGTCCAATCAGAAGACCTGCAATAATTAAGAAATGTGATTTTGTGTTCATAAAAATCGTTAAAATGACAGTAATTAAGAAGTACAGAAGGTCACAAGTAATAAAATTCCATGTGGCTTGAGTATAAGCATTCTCTGCTGAACGTCCATTTCATTATTGCAAATTCTTCGTGCGAAACACATGTTGAGCATTTTGAATTAGTGTTTTTACTAATTAAAAAAATTTGAACACCATCCTAAGCCATTTTCAGCAGCAACATTATTTTTTTAAAAGTACCATTTATTTCATTTACATATTTCATTATGATTTCAATTTTGTGAAGTTGTTTTACAGTTTTCATTGAGTTGTCTTATTTCAATTTTATGAAATAAAATCTCACTCTCAACGGTCTTTATAATATATTTTCCATAAAGCTTCGTAAACATAAAGGTGAAAGCTAAGTACAAAAAAAAAAAAAATAGAGCGCTGAAAGTTTTCCTTAAAAATAACAAGGTAAATAATTTGTTCACTTAAATCTAAATAATTTCACTTCTCTCCTTCCGTAGAATAAATTATCCTCGCGTAAGCTCTCAATATGTCATGAAAATGTCTTTTGTCACCTGTCAAGTGATGCGGAATGTTATGACCGGCTTTGTTTTATTTTCAAACTACATCTTTTCGGCGCAGAAACTAAGTTAAGCTCGTTTCAAAATATTTTAAATAAACATAATTTCTGATTTTCTTAAAATAAGTTTAGAAAAAATTATAATTGATTTTTAAAAGAATTTCAAACTGAGATTTTCATTTTTTTTTTTTATTAAATGGAAAAAATGGTTGACATGACTGATTATCTGTCCATTTTTCTGACTCAAAAAAAACAATATTTTCAACGAAAATTTTGGGCGTGCTAGGAATGATTGAGAAATGTAAAAAAATATACCCCAAAAATACTTTGATCTTTCCTCTTAATAATAACAAACATTTAGACGATAAAGTTTTGTTTTCGTCAAGTTTGGCTTTTTCATCATGCTATGCTCTTTTTTAGCGATCTCATAGAGGTACCTAGTTTAATGTGTCAATATCATAAGTGACTAATTTTAACAATTACAACCTTAAAAATAACAAACTCTTAGTATTTACAAAAAAATTTAGCTGCATTTTCCCACTTCCAATAACCCTAATCCAATAACCATTAGGATAACACAATAAACTGAAAATAGTTGACAGTGCTATCCATAATGCACCAGCATAGTCGAGCTACCACCCAAACTGAAGATTGGATTTGGATTGCTGTTGCCACACTCAATCTCCACTCATAAACATACATACATACATACCTCTGGATCCATTGATGAATCGCAAAACTGTCTTGTTTGGAAGGACAGCTGTGAAAAGTGCTTAATATCTGGGTAAATATAAATGGTCTGAAGATTGTATTCAGGCATGAAGCAGACTGCTGCCACTTCATGTTGACATCATAGGAATTTTTTTTCCATTTTATCATTCAACATCTATATATATATATATATATATATATATATATATATATGTATGTGTGCATATATTTCATTTTATTTATTTGGATACTTAACTCGTTATTTAACTTTTGATATCGCATTTTTGTTGCATTTTATTGCAATTCTCATTGTTATTCCATAACTATTAAATAAGAATAAATTTGAAATAAGATTCCAGCAAGATTTACTGGTTTGGTAAAAGTGGGTAGAAGGTGCCTCCCAAATAAGCTATATAGTTATATTCTTTACTTCTCTGCTACTTTGCCACCATATTGGCTGTTTACTATTTGCACTTGTATTGTAATATTTTATGAATTTCTTGATGAAGCATTATGCTTGGTTATTCATGCTGATATTTAATGTTTATAGAATGAAAATCTTAAGAGGTATGATAAATAGCAACTGAAAAAGTAAAAATTCATAAAAAATTATGACTAGGATACATTTAAGAAATTTGTAAACTGTTACATGTTGCAGATTAGGAATAAAAAGGCTTTTCAAAATTACAGAAACATTTAAGCTTTTACATTTCTTTATAAAGATTTTAAAAGTATTTTTTTTTCTAATTGCAGAAGGTGCAACTTTTGGATGGAATTGGGAAAAGCGACAAGAAATTGTGTTTCATATTGTAGACTTTTGCAAATCATTTGGTTTCACCTATTACATTACCTCGATAGAACAGGTAATTAATATTTTAGCTGTTATCACATTTGTCAGATGTTTACTTTATCTTTTTATTTCAGCTTAATATTAATCTTAAAAGTATTTCTCTTCTCTACTGAGCTTAGAACAAACTGCATTTTTGTAATTTTTAAGCAATTAATGGTTTTTTAATACTATAAATGTTACATTTAGTGGGAACCCATGTTCGAGTCTACACTTCCTACCCTTCACACAGTTTTTTTTTTTTTTTTTTTTTTTTTTTTTTTAACAGTGAAAATAATATCTAGTGGATTGAAAATCACAAAGAAAATGTTCCTCTTGACAGGGATGTCTGCTTAAACTCATGTACCTATTAAATATAATGTTTGTACTAATAAGAAAATTCTATATGTGATTTTATAGAAACTGTACATTTTAAACTTTTGAATTTAGCAAGAAATCATTAATTTATGCTGTGTCTTGTATAGAATTCAATTTTAGGTTTTAAAGCTAAAGTAAGAACAAACAAACAAAGCATTATTGTTGTTAAAAATACATTTCAAGAAATTCTTAACAAAATTCTCCCTCCATCCTATAAGATTGGCTTAGTATCATTTAAGACACGTTACATTGAAATTCATGTTCACTTAACAAAAATATCCCCACTCAAAGAATGTTGTGCAATAAATTAGCCTACACAAGCTTGACTACTTTCATCAGCTGAAGGAACTGCACAGTCTTTCAATACTACATATTTTATGTCTCAATTACTTAATTGTAGAAACTGGTGGATATTTTTCATGCCTTTCCTTGAAACATAGTCTTAAAAACACAATAAAATGGTATTCAGTATAAATGTATTTTATGATTGGAATTGCTTGAAAATCATGAATAAAGAAATTGCCACTGGTTAGAAATTAAGGAAAATATTACTGATAGAACTGAATGTTTAATTTTATTTTTTCTATCAAGGTTATGGAGATCTATGTACTTGGTAAATATCCATGATATATAAAAAGTGATGACAGCAAAATGTTTTTGTATATTTTTTATTTAGTTGACATGTGACAACAGATTAAAGCTTTTTGGAAATCATAAAATGTTCAATTACTCTTGCAATCTTTGTCACTGTTTGATATTGAATAGTATTTTTTGAACTGGGTTAAATTTCAAATCCAGCAGGCATTAATGACCTCAGTGCGAGAATCACCAATCCTTTGGTTGTGGCACCTGATAATGAAAAGCAAATGAAAAATTTAAAGTTAAAGCAAATAAAATTGGTAAGAAGGCAAAAGAATTCACAAACTAGGAGTTGGTGTTTGTACTCAAAAGCAAGTTCAACCAAGTAGACACAGTATGTTTGTCTAGTAGTTAAAGCAGATCTGGACTGAGGATATTTATTCCTGAATAAAACAGAAAATGTGACACAAGGCCGGAATGGGGAAAAGGTCGGTCTTCTGTCTTAACTTTAAACTTAGCTAGCCACAAACGCTGACTCAATTGTACTTACAATATTCCTTGCACCAAGACAACACATTCTTACTTACCTTTCTCACCACACCCACCATAATACCTCAATGTCTCCATGAAAATACTAACTAGTCCCCATATGTACAATATATTGTCTGTGGGGGGAGGGGAATAAAACAACAATTTAAAATTTTAAAAAAATGACCCCAATGAGTATGAAATATAAGCTATTTACAAGAAACCAAACAAAATCATGTTAGTAATAAAAACCCAACAATCACTAAATGTGGCAGAAACATCAGTTAACTGGATGAAATTAATGCGGGACTATAATAAAATAAAACATTCGTTCAACCCAAGCACTCACACAGACATGCACTCATTCAGACACAACAACAAATGCGAAAACACACACACGGAACGAAAGACGCCCCGCATCCACCAGAGAACTGACATCACTGACCACCTAATGAGGGAGGGGATGGGGAATTAAACTTAAAGAAAAATAGGGACAGAAATAAAAGAGGCCAATGAGCATACATACCCTAGCTAAGTTTATTGAAAAAAAAGAAATTAAAAATTCAAAACACCTGTGTGAGAAAATGGGGGAAAAACAAACAGCTTCTTGTGACACAAAAACAAATGCCTACCTGCGAACCTGAAATGAACGCCTTCTCTTCTGAATGAACATTTTACAACAACAAACGGGCAAAACGGCACCCAAGACTGCTGCTGGTGGATGATCAACCGCAACAGCTATTGTCACCCAAGAAAAGACGCCAAATGACTCGCGCGTCTTCTTCTCGTAGTCCTCGGTTGAGTCCATTATAGTACTCCAAGGTGTGCCCGGCGACAACACACATGCAGTTCGAGGACGCTTCCGCGCATGCTCGTTACACTCCTCCCTGACACACCAAAGCTGCGTCGATACTCTTAATGCGGACCCTGTAGGTGTAGGTTGCATTCGCCAGTGCAGTTGAAGCTGTTTTATTGTCCTTTGGGGTAACGTTGTGCCAATATACAGCTTCCAAAACTGAACACCGTGTTCTCGTCGCAATGCGCTTTATTGTACGATGAGATCTCTCAACTATACCATTCCCCGATGTTACGTGGGCCCAGCGAAATCGTATTTTACATTCCGCATCTTTGCGAAAGTGGCAAACCTCTCTCCACAAAATGCTGCACCATTATCTGTAAGCAGCTCAATTGGCGGCCCTCTTTCACAAAACACTACTTCCAACTGCTTGGTGATGCTAGCAGAGTCTTGGTGGTGCATGGGCTTCCAAATGACAAAACGACTGGGGCCGCAGTCTATCAGCGTCAGGTATAGTTGATGTCTGAAATGGGTTACATCCATTGCAACCTTGTGCCAATTTTCCGCAACATCAAGCCTGCCCGGTTTCCAACGGCCTGGGGCCGGGTCGATTGACTGGCATTCCTTGCATCCCCTAACCACCGCTTGCACCTCAGCTTTTGTTACTCTTGGGTTGATCAACTTCACAAAATTGAGTGTTCTCTTCATACCAGGATGTCCGCTGGATTGGTGAATGGCTCATACTTGAGCAACATCTCGCTCTTCAGCCACAGCGCACATAGGTTCCCTGGGTTCTGTTATTTTGCGCATTTCATTTAACCATCACTGCGGTACTCTAGTAAGTTGGTTGGCTTGATTGTTGCACGACTTGACAAGCTCTACATCAATGTCCAGCTCTTATTCTAAGGCCAACTCTTGGAGTGTGACTAGACGACGTCTGATTAGCATCTCGGAGGCTGCCTTGGTGTGCACTCTCGTCCGTCCAGACAGTGTCAGCTACCCAGCGATGCACACATGCTGAGTCTGTCCATAATTGAATGGTTTTAGCCTTCCATTGTAATGCAAGGTTGACACCTCGCAACACAGCATCGAGTTCAACCAAGTTGATGTGCTTGTCAGTCGGAGCCATCTTGCATCTTCTGCCACGGCGACATTGCTCTCCACAACCACACCGGTGGCTAAGGAGCTTGCATGTACCCACACGGTTACATTTTGCTCACTGATACACCAGTCACCTTTCCCTGGATCGTCCTGGGCTAGTCTCTTAAAAATGTTGTCGATCATCTAGGCTAGAAAAGGGTCCTGCACTTCATTGTCCCATCCAGTGGTAACAGTGTTTGCCCTCCGCTTCACAAATGCCATGGCGACACGTAACCAACTGCAGACCGGAAAATGACCAGTCAACTTCACACACAGTGAGAAGACAATTCAGTGGGTAAGTTTATCGGGGACTACCGGAAGTTCACATCCACAACGCCATCGCAGTTTTCCTTGCTCCTCCCAGACATGCAATCCCAACACGTGTGTGCCAATTCTTAGCCGCTCCGGGGGTCTTACTTGACAGACCAAACTGCTCCAAATGTTCCTTGACGAGGACCACAGAACACACACTCTCATTAACAAAAACATTGTCAATATAAGAGGAGGAGGCTGTGTTGACGATCTCGTCCCAGCACAAGACGGTATTAACAATAGCCTGCATGATTAAAGGGGCAACATTGAGCCCAAATCCTAAGCAGGTTAGACAATACCTTTGTCCCTTAATCTTCACTGTTTGGAATGGCCAAAGGGACTTGTCGATGTGTACCTGCAGATAGGCCCGGCGTAGGTCCAGCACTGCAGCATTTGGTCCTTGCTTATGCCATTCCCGTAATTTTTTAGAACAAACATCTGCATTGGCCACATATGTGTCAACGTACTCATTGAGTTCCCGATAGTCCATAACAGGCCAAACCTACTGTTTGTTTTCCTGCAGAATGGCCATGAGGGGGATTAAACCCTTTGAGGTTCCTCCTCCATGTAAGGAAGCAGCCAGCTGTTATGTATCCAAATCTGGAGTTCCCGATCATACTCCTCCCGAATTTGTGCGGGAGCTGGATATTCTGCCAGTCTATTTCTTAACATACCCGGAGGTTGATTGCCAGCCCATTTTCAAGATGCGGTCCACCCCCCGAGTAGTCTCATCGAATTATACTTTAAAGTCGGGCTTGGTAATGGTGATGGCAGCAATGACTGGTTCGACACACTGTGGAAACTTCACCTCACCGGTGCCAGTTACAGATATTCCTTCCAACTGTTTCATGGCGTTTAGTCCGAGCAGCAAGTCAAATCCAAGCAGGTCTCCATCCACAACTAGGGCTTCCATAGTGATAGACGGTTTTGCACCAACACTAACTTGTACCACTCCGATTACACAGCAGTCAAGTTCGCCTCCACCTACTGTAAGCATGAGTGTTGATTTTCTTGTCCATGCTCAACAGCATGACTTGCGGATTAGTGACTGTGTGCATCCTGTATCCACGAGAGCTATACGTGATATTCCATTGATACGATTGATTGTCACTACAAGCAATGCGTCATTTACAAGGGTTTTGGGGAGGAGATTGGCACTGTTATTCTCGCTCCCTTGCCCATTTCCCGGACAATACCGAGCAATGTGCCCTTGCCAATGACATTGATAGCAAGTGATGGTCCGTCAGTGCTTGGTACCAGTACCTTTGGATGGTTTACGACCCAGGAGACAATCACTCGCCCTA